AATTTATGGATCTCATGAGAATAATGAAAAATCCAAAAATCAGACAATATTTATTTATTTCACACCTTTATAAAAACTGACTTCATTTAAGGCAAAACATACGCATTTGATAGAATTGAAATGAGATGAAAATACTCCGATGAATCTCAGGGAGAAGTCTGTTGGATAGGGAGAGAAGCGAAAACATAAGAAGAGCATTCAATATAGAAGACATATATGGATGGGCGACAAAACGAAAACAGGAGTGGAACGAACACATCAGTAGAACGGCAGAGGATGGACTAGTACGAATAGCACGAGATAAGTCACCAAATGGACGAAGAAGTAGTAGTAACAGACCAAAAAAAGATGGTGCGACAATTAAAACAATTTAAGAGGCTAATATTGAAGAAAAATAGGCTTTAAAGCCTACATACTAGAAGAAAGAAGAAGGCGACTGGAGTAAAGGATCTCCCAAAGTTTCCTTTGGGGAACGGTGTCCTCTGCCTTCTTTTGAACCACAGTTCAAATGGTAAATCGTCAGCTTAAAACACGCCTAAGTATTTTTCGAAGAGCTTGCTATTGCTAGTGTTGACAGGGTTTAAGTCTTAGTTATTGTACTCTTTGTCATTACCGTAAATATTAACACGATATATTTATATATGATATTTTCTATTTTGCTTCTCTGTTTCCTCCTCCTCTCCTCAGTCCTAATCCCTTTTACTGCAGATACTGCAAATATCTCTGTTTTATTGGTTTAAGCAATCTATCCTTTACTTTAAGTTGTTCTAGTATAGATACGTTAGTGCGATGATCAATCCAGGATATTCTCAACATGCGGCGGTATACCCACATTTCAAAAGCGTCCAGTTTATTTTTATCCGCTTTCTTTAAGGTCCGCGTTTCGGATGCATATGAGGCTATGGGAAAAATGGGCGCCCTTACCAGCCTAAGTTTTGTGTGTATTGTTATGCTAGAATTTTTCCAAATTGGTATCAGTTTCATCATGGCTGTTCTAGCAATAGTCAACCTTCTACGTATTTCTCTGTCACACTTTCCGTCATTTGGTATTAGGGACCCCAGATATATGAAAGTATTTACTACTTCAAAGTATTTTGACCCAAAGCCCATTTGACACTAGTTGGCCCGGAACCAACTGAGTGCCGATCGCTAATCGGATCGCTAAGCATATCTAACTGATTCGATATATTCATGATTGTGTAGTCACGGGAATTTAATGCGGTGGTTTCCCCTTGCCTGCCTGATTGCAGTATCTCGGCCAGTTAAATTATTGTGTGATATCCGCCCGTGAGTATCTATTATTAAGCCAACAGTAGAAATCATTCCGCTATAGCCTTAATGAAGTAATGTCATAGCTGCTGCGCTATGCCATGTCCTCGGTTGGTCCACGGGTGTTTATTTGGTAAAACCTATCCTATATATCTGTAGGACATTTCCCTATCAGCCAGTGAGACGCGCCGTATCGGGGTTGAGGACTCCTCCGCATGTCCGTCTTCCGCGAAGTACAGGAGAGTAATTACTTAATTCAGAACTCCTCCTCCACGCAAGCTGGGACGGACACGGACTCGTTTCTTCTACTCTTCATTTAAAAATATTTTAAAAAATTTACCCAAAATAGATCCACAGACCTAAATTTAAAGTCAACGTTTTTTCAGCCCCGTATAAGCGCAAGAGATGTCCACACTCATTTTGTGAGATTGAGATCTGAATGATAAAGTGATAGCCTTAACATCGAATGCTCACTATTACCCAATATTCTGTCAATGTTACACCGTATAGCAAAAGAAGATTAACCCCCCCATAGTTAGGATCTATATTATGTGTAGCATAAACGAAGCCACATTGCTTAGCGTCGGCAGAATGTGAGAATGTTTCTTTGGAGAGTTCCAGTTGTACACAAACTAAAGTACAATTGGGGAGAAAGCAAAAAAAATATATATTACAAGATTCCAATATACATTTTTTATCACGTGCTGGTTGGGGTATATTTTCCCAGTGAGCTCTAACAAATTTCTAAGCAAAATAAAATGTAGAATTGGTGGATCTATTGTTATTTGGCTCCGGCACCAAATAATTCCTTAGTTTAATTTTAATGGCTGAAAAAGTGGTTGATCTGTTTTAAATATTCGCTTTGAATTAACATCTTCAAAAGTGTAAGTATTGATCTTGATGGAGCGTGTTTAAAATAATAAAACCATTTTTTTTGGCACATATTTATGCATATTTTATGTCCACGTATTGAATTGTTTATTGTTGCATAGTACGGCTCGTCTGTTTGCTATTTTAGCAAGAATACCGTGTAAGTATAAACGGTCTAAATAATTATAGGTATGTTATTTAACTGACACTACACTTAAGAAGCCATTCAATTTGGCATAACGTGATACAATATTTTTAATAATGTCACGCAGTAGTCAAACGTTTTACTAAAAATATCTGAAACTTTCTTTTTAGAAATTTTAACAGCAATTTAAACGATAAATTAAAAACACAAAAGTGATATATTAAAGAAATATATAGCCAGACAGTTAACATTTTAAAAGATTATTTCATAACAAAGAACAGAAATTAGACAATTATAAAAAAATAATGAAAAAATAGAAATGTTTAATTAGAAAAAAGTTAAAAAATCTGTGAAATTTGTGAAAAATGAAAAAGCAGGGGGGCCCGCAGGCATCTCTATAGAGCTGAGCCAAAATATGACAGATCTGCTGATCAACAAAATTACAAATATTTCCCAATTAAGACATTCTTAATAACATACCAATCGATTTTATAAGCTTAATCATAAGAAACGATATAAATCAACATGTAGCAGTTGTAGAGATATTAGTATGACCAATCTATAGGAAGTCTGCCGAGTTTTAAACAAAATAATTAAAAAGTATGTTCTACATATCGAAGAGTAACGCGGTTTCCGCAATGAAGTGCCATATGATTAAAATTAATTGTCACCGCTCAGTATATGTTCCAAATAGGAAAAATTTCTTTGTTTTAAACTCCTAATAATTTGCCTTTTGTTCCAGCTCTTCTTAAGACTTCTTCGTTTGTCACATTGTCAATCCATAAGATAGTTCACCGAATATCTCCCAAAGCTCCTTAAGTAATTAAAGCTAATTTTTCGGTTGTTTGTAAAATACTTAAACCTGTCGATCTGTTTTGTCCGCTCTGAGTGAAATTAATTAGAAGGGTAGTCTTCCTTTGCTTTGCCAACTATAACTTCAGCCGTTCCTGATATGGATCACTCTAGGTCAAAAGCTACTGTGCTTTTTTAATATGCAAAATCTTGGGATTGCTACTTCTGTCATTGACGTTCTTGTTGTAGTCTTCATTCATATTCCTGGACATGAAAGAGGTTGTCTTATACCCCACGAAACTGGGCATCGTATAATACGAGTCCTAACAGCTAAATGTTCAGACAAACGAAAGTTTATTGAAAACGTTCATCTTCACGATCTCTCTTATTGAACCAAAGAACGAGATCAATAACACATAAAACTCTATCATTAATAACAAAATATTAAAATAGCTCGATCTCTATAAACTTTAAATTGCAGCCTTATAGGCTGCAAAATAAACGAAAATATTACATAACATCGTGACAGCTAAATGTTTGGAAAATTCAAGAAATTACTATTATAAAAATAGGGTTATATTGTCACGCGCCTTAAAAAAAACACGGTAGTCCTGTCTGGCATTGTGCGTACTAAGGATTTACATAAATCAGAGTCGAAACTATCGCATATGCCATAACGTCCCAATAACATTAAGCTTTCGACTGTTCTAAAGCCATGAAAGGACTTTAATGTTAATGTCTCCAAATCATTTTTAGGTGTTTTAGCTGTATGGCATGTAGCACCGCCCTGCTGGAAAATGAAATTTATGTCCTGGTGGAGATCGTGAGCACGTGGTATAAGACTATTTTTTAAAATTTCTTAATACTTTGTTCTGTTAATTGTGCCTTCTACCATTTCATATCTTCCTAGACCCGCTGATGACATACAGCGACAAATCATAATTCCTTTAGGAAACTTCACAGTTCTTTTAAGGCAATCTTTATGGAATGCTTTACTTTTTACTTCTGGTAACCCATTTTCGAAAGTTTCCCACGCAAACATCAAATTTCGATTCGTCACTGAATATCACTCTCAACCAGTCATCAATGGTTCATAACAACTTTAAGCAACCGCTTCAATTGGGCAAGATCAAAGATTTCATACCTCAAAGAACAGTGAAGTTTCCCAAAAGAATTGTGATTTGGGGGTGTGTGTCATCAGCTGGTCTAGGAAAATATGAGCTGGTGAAAGGCACAATAAACGCAGCAATTAAAGTATCAAAAAATTTTGAAAAATAGTATTGCACCAATTGCTCACGATCTCTATACGGACATGAATTTTATATTCCAGCAGAACGGTGCTGTCCATACAGCTAAAACAACTAACAATGATTTGGAGTCAATACAATTAAAGTGCTCTCATGGTGTTCGAACAGTAGAGACCTTAAGTTTATGAGACGTTGTGACATACGATGAAACAGAAATTGCATAATACTCCCCAGGAAACCGTCGCCGATTTAAAGAGTAAATTAAGTGAATTATAGGATATTTTCGAACCTGTCTCGTGTAAATCCTTAGTACGAACAATGTCAGACATAATTGGCGCAGTTGTAAAAGTGCGTGGAGATGTCACTCCATATTAAAGTAGTAATTTTTTGAATTAATTGGTCGAGCATTTAGTTATCACGTCTTTTCGTTTATTTTGCCGCCAACGCTGCAAATCAAAGTGTATAGAGACTAAACTAAAATAAAATAATAAACATATTTTGAACACGCTGATTAATTTGTTTTTTTTTACATATATTTTTAAAAGGTCAGAAGAATACCATGAAAGAATAAATACATCATATTATATGTGTAATATGTCGTCTCTATACTTTAACTAAACTCTAACTCTAGTACTCTAACTTTAATAAAATTTGTAATGGGATTTAATTTTTTTCAGGTACCGCAGTGTTATTCTATGTAGTCTATTTTCTGAGATCAGTAATGGTAAGTATTTTAGATGCTTTAGAGCTCATTGCTAAGTTTAAAGGTGACTATTCATTACGCGGCATTTGACAAGTGTTTGTGCCGGCTATTGTCGAGTAAACGTGGCACTACCGTTTGATGTAATACTCGTTTTTTTAACTTGGTGTAGTTTTTCGAATATAAACGCCAGGTACAAGTAGCATGTCGGGTTTTATATCATCATCATACTTTACATATTACATAATATTTGGCAAATATTTGTCAAGGATGTGTCAAGTGCCGTGCAAAAAAAATTATTTACCAATAAACCTTAAGATAACTTGTTCTTCTTCTTCTTCTTCCTACTATATAAATACGCTTAATGCCTGTTTTACTTCGGCTTTTAGCCTCAATTAACGTTGTCTGACCATCTTTTCCTCGGTCGTCCCAATGATCTTCTTCCATTTGGCGATTTGTCTCTTGCTATTCGTACTATTATATTTTCTGTCATTCTTTCGATGTGTTGATTCCATTCCACTTTTCTTTTTTTTGGTCCACGCGTTTATTTCCTCTATGCCACATCCCGCTCGTATCTTCTCACTTCTTATTCTGTCTCTTAGAGTTTGGTTTGTTATTTTTCGTAAGACTTTCATTTCTGTTGTTTCCAGCAGTCTTTGTGTTTTCGCCGTATCTGCTCTTGTTTCCGCTGTGTACGTCATTATCGGTCTTATTGTTGATTTATATATCCTGCTTTTCGTTTCCGTTGTGAGGTATTTGTTTCTCCAGATTGTGTTGTTGAGACATCCTGCTGCTCTGTTTGCTATGTTCACTTGTTTTTGTACTTCTTCTTCCACTTCGCCGTAGCTTGACAGTTTTATTCCCAAGTATTGAGTTTCCATCACTTGTTCTATTATTTTGTTATTTACAACTAGTTTACATAGATTTCGCTGATATCACTATCGTTTTAGTTTTCTCTGTTGAGATCACCATGTTGTATATGAGCACCGTATTTTCGAATTAAATACAGTAAAAAAAAATTTCAACATATCGACCTGCATATTGAAGACGAACGTATTGAAAGAGTACACCGATTTAAATATCTGGGATATACAATAAATGACAAGTGGGACCCAGAAGTAGAGATTAAGATCCGAATTGAAATAGCAAGATCCAAATTCATCAAAATGAGAAAGCTTTTAAGCAACCGCAACCTAAGCATTAACCTCCGATGGCGCGCCACGAAATGCTACGTACTCTCTACGCTACTTTACGGCGTAGAAGGGTGGACGTTAACAGCAGCAACTATAAAGAAGTTAGCGGCTCTAGAAATGTGGCTGTATCGACGTATACTGAGAATACCTTGGACAGACAGAGTGACCAACACAGAGGTATTAAGACGAATGGGTAAAGAGGTGGAATTGTAAACAACTGTTAAAATGAGGAAAGCATCATACCTGGGCCATGTGTTCCGTAATGATAAGTACAGTCTGCTACAGCTTATCGTGGAAGGCAAGATTGAAGGTAGAAGAGGTTTGGGCAGAAAGAAGAAATCCTGGCTGAGAAACTTGAGAGAATGGTTTCAAATACCAGAAGCTGCGAACATAATTCATGCGGCACAAAACAGAGAAACCTATCGTATGATGGTCGCCAACCTTCGGTAGAAGACGGCACATAAAGAAGATTTTCGAATTCTTTAATTAATCTTTGTAGGTCATTTTCATTTTCGGCTGTTACTATGGCATCGTCGGAGTAGCATATTACCCTTATTTCTTTTTCTTCCATTCTATATCCTCTTCTTTGTTAACTTTCTTTATGATTTCCTCCATTATCGGATTAAATATTAATGGGCTCAGCGGATCTCCTTGTCTAATGCCAGTTTCATATTTGATAGGTTGCTATAGTTGTTTTCCTTTATATCTTACCATAGCTATGTTATCTTTATATATATTCTCAATTGTTTTTACTAAATCCAGTGATATTCCCATTTCATATATTAAATGTATCGCGTCCCGAATTCTCACTCTATTAAACGCTTTCTTCAAATCTATCAGACCGACATATGCTGGTTTGTTGTATTCCAGCGACTTTTCTTTTATTTGTCTAATTACAAAAACTGCATCAGTGCATGATCCTCCTGTCCGAAATCCTTGCTGTTCCTCTTGCAGAGATATTCGTTCGTTTATTTTTGTCGCTATTATTCTTGTTGTCAATTTGAGTGTTGTATTTAAAAGATTTATTAATTGTTGGGATCTTTCTTGTCTTCTTTTTTGAAGAACATCACCATGATCGCTTTCCTCCATTCATCTGGTATTCTGTTCGTGGTGATTATTTTATTAATAAGAAGTTGCAGTTGTTGTACAAGGTAATCACCTCCGTATTTTAAGAGTTCATTTGGTATTTGATCTTCTCCTGGTGACTTTCTGTTTTTTAATTTGTTTATTCCTTCTTTCACATCGTTTTGGGAGATTTCGATCTTTTCCTCAGTTATTATACCTGGCGTTTCTGGTAAAGGTTCTTCGTTTTGCTTTTTAAATATTTCTGTCAGAAAGGCCACCCATGTATCCTCTTGTATGTGTTCTATTTCAACTAGTTCTTTCATTTCGCTTCTTTGTTGTCTTATAAAGCGCCATACTTGTTTCTGTTGTCCATAGAAATCCATCTGTAGTCTTTTTATGAATATCTCCCAGTAATCTGTTTTTGTTTTTCTTACCAATTGATGACCAGTTGATAACTTGTTTTTTACTCTTAAAATTACTGATTAACTGAATAATTTGTATGTACTCGTGTCCACGGTATGTCTCGATGTAAATTGAGCTAATATATCATATTGTTAAGATAAAAGTTTAAGGTAATCATCAGCGTTAGAGCTCAGATTTATTGGCAACAAAAATTAAAAAAAAACACCAGGAAGTTTTTTTTATATATCGACACCCTCTGTATGGTGAGAATGAGAATATCTACCAATACTCTATACCTTGTTCAGATATACGCTCCTATAACAGCTGCAAAAGAATAAGACATCAACAGGTTCTATGGTCGTCTGGATGAAACTGTTAGCGCTATTTCGAATCATAAACTTGATTTTAAGGGATTTCTTGGAACGCCAAAGTAGGGTCATCTAATGAAAATATTGAAGGGGTGCTGGGCAAAAATGGACTGGAACAGAGAAATGAGAATGGCAACATCATCCATGGAGACTATACATATCAAGATGAAAGTCGTCGGCCATTAACTGTCAAGCATATCCTGGCGCAGACTGGAAGCGACGATAATCAACTCCTGATATTGAACGTTAGACATCGTTCTAGAGTCCTTAAATTTAGACCCCTAGGAAAAATTATGTCTCTAAATCGATCAAAAATCAATGACTTCCAACAAAACTTTACCTTTAAGGATCAGTTGTAAAATTTTATATCGACTTCCCCTTACTATATGTCCCAGATAATACATTTTTCGATGTTTAACAGTCTTTAGCAGTTCTCTACTTTTGTTGACGCTCCTTAGTACTTCTTCATTAGTTTTTCAAGCTGTCTAAGGTATCTTCAGCATTCGTTTATGAACCCAGATTTCCAATGCTTTAATTTTATTCATGATCGATACTTTTAGCGTCCACACTTCTGCACTATACAAAAGTACGGACCAAACATAGCTCTTAACCATTCTTTGCCTTAGCTCTAACCTGAGATGGTTATTGCAAAGAAATGACTTCATTTTCATAAAAGTAGTTTTAGTCATTGCTATTCTACGTTTTATTTCTCTGTCTAGATTAAGTTGGTCCGTTATCACAGTTCCCAATTATGTCATTTTGTGAACTTTCTCAACTTGGATTCCGTTTAATTGAAGCTTTGCATCGGGATGTGGGTAACGACTAAACACTAAAAATTTGGTTTTGTTTGAGTTTTTTTTAATGCCTATTTCCTTTCCTACCTCGTGAATATGATCAAGCAGAATTTGAAGACCTTGAATATTATCGGATGGAATTACTGTATCGTCTGTATATCTAATCACATTAAGTAGTTCCCCGTTGATTTTTATTCCATATGGTTGTCTCTCAACTGCCTTTTTAAATAACTGGTCCCAGTAAATATTGAACAATGTTTGCGATAAAATGCAACCTTGTTTGACTTCTCGTTGTATGGTGATTTTATCGGTGTAGTTATCTCCAATTTTTACTCTAGCAGTTTGATTCCAGTACACATTTTTAATGACACGAATATCCTTGTCATCTATTCCGATATTTTTTTGTATTTGCATTAATTTTATATGCTGTACTTTATCGAATGTCTTTTTGAAGTCCACTAAACATGCAAATACATCTTTTCTTTGGTCACGGCATTTTTGTAATAGGATGTTAAGCGCAAAAAGTGCCTCCCTGGTTCCCATAGCATTTCTAAAACCAAATTGGGTATCTTCAACATCTTCTTCGCATTTGCGTCTAATTCTGTTGTGAAGTATTCTGAGGAAAATTTGAAGAGTGTGGCTCATTAGGCTAATTAATCGATATTCTAAGCATTGTCTCGCATTGTGTTTTTTAGGTATTGCGATAAAGACGGATTTGAGCCAATCTGAGGAATTCACTCCGGTGTATATAATGACTTAAAAAGTCTTACTACTACTTTTATGTTATCATTTTCTATTACTTTCATCAACTCAGTTGGTGTATCATCTGGACCACAAGCTTTTCTAATTTTACCATTATTTATAGCGTGTTCTACTTCGCCTTTAATAATTTATGGGCCGTCAGTACAGTTTTGGTAGAATTCGGCAATATTATTCCTGTCATCTTCAAACATCTCTGATATATACAGCCGCCATTCTTTTCTTATTTCGTGCTCATTTACAATAATTTTGTTATTATTGTCAACAAGTACAAAAGGAACTCGTTTTTTAAATATAATACTCATTTCTTTCAGTTTTCTGTGCACATTAAATAAGCCGTGTTTAGATATTACATCCTCCATTTCATCGCACCTTTCTCTCATCCATTTTTCTTTAACTAATTTGATCTCCTTTTTTATTCTTCTCTGCAGGTGTCTATATTC